TTTGTAATTAGATAAGCGTCCTTTATACCATCTGTACATATTTAAAAAGTTCGTTAAGAAGCTATAGGTCAAACATACTAGGCTATTTTATCTGAAGAGTGCCACGTTATTTACGTGGTACGAAACTGTATAGTAATAAATATGCCAAACAAAGCTTGCTAAGTTTTTGTGTATTTGTATATATATATATATATATATATATATATATATATATATATATATATATATATATATATATATATATATATATATATATATATACAGGGTGTATCAAAAAAAGTAAGACAATTTTGAAATTGCTCTCAATTCCACAATTCTGTTCATGAAATGTAATTTTTGCTATATATGGATTGCTTGAGTTCTTAAAATGTGGAAAATATAAAAAAAATTGAAAATAGTAAATTTTGCTATCCAGGGGGGTGGTCAACTTTTGCCCCCCTAAAAGTGGCTTGCGCACAGAAATGACAAACGGTATTCTTTATTTGAGTTCATGTATGAAAAGTTCGCTATTTGTTGCATTTATGATAAAATTTCGGCAGGATTTTACCAAGTAAAAGTCCACCGAAAAGCCTATGAAAACGTTACATTTTTCTCCGTTGGTGCTGTTATTGCTTCATTATGAATTCATTTTTACTCCCATGAGAGTTCCGTGGAATTTCCATGGAATTTGTGCTTTCGAGTTGTTTGTGCTGAAACACATTTTCTCGTATAATACCCCGTACACTTTGAAATGGCGATGCCACAATTTACCCCGTAGCAGAAAGCTTTTATGGTATCAGAGTTCCTCCCTAGCAACAACATAAACTTGGTTCGCCAAAGTTTCAAGAATATCCAGATGTACGATGCCCTTCACGTGCGAATACGTGAAGGGCATCGTACACAAGTCTGGTCTCTGGATATTCGTTCGTGAAACTTTGGCGAACCAAGTTTATGTTGTTGCTACGGAGGAACTCTGATATCATGCATAAAAGCTCTCTGCTTCGGGGTAAATTCAGTGGCATCGCCATTTCAAAGTGTACGGGGTATTATACGAAAGAATGCGTTCCAGCACAAACAACTTGAAAGCACAAATTCCATGGAAATTCCACGGAATTCTCATGGGAGTAAAAATGAATTCATAATGAAGCAAGAACAGCACCAACAGAGAAAAATGTAACGTTTTCATAGGCTTTTCGGAGGATTTGTACTCTGTAAAATCCTGCCGAAATTTTATCATAAATGCAACAAATAGCGAACTTTTCATACATGAACTCAAATAAAGAATACCGTTTGTCATTTCCGTGCGCAAGCCACTTTTAGGAGAGCAAAAGTTGACCACCCCCCTGGATAGCAAAATTTACTATTTTCAATTTTTTTTATATTTTCCACAATTTAAGAACTCAAGCAATCCATACATATAAAAAATTACATTTCATGAACAGAATTGTGGAATTGAGAGCAATTTCAAAATTGTCTTACTTTTTTTGATACACCCTGTATATATATATATATATATATATATATATATATATATATATATATATAGCTACTTGCATGCGAAAAATATAGGGAAATGCAAGAACTTTGCTATATTTCGTTGCAATCAATGCACGAATTTCGTTGCACGAATTTCAAATAGGTCACCTCTACTGGCGTCAGCTGTTTCCTATCCATTTTGTGACTATCGCATGGCAGCCACAATCCAAACAACGTCTCGTTTTGATTGGTCAACGTTGGGAGTCGTAGAACTGTACGAAATATATGTGTCAATGTACCTTTTTATTAATATTTTGTTGACTTTCCTTCTGTTCTATATAATCTCACTTATAACTAAGTCTTAATGCAAAGCCACTACAGTATGGTATAGCATGGATATAGTATGAAACGTAATATGGTGTAGTATGGAATATATGAGTAAAGTATTTTGTAACCAACCTCGTACCCAGGTCTTTCATTACGCTCCTCGTGGAAAGAGCCTGGAACCGGGTTGTATAGTATGTTAGTTCAAATTTGTGCGGATTTCTATTGTTCTCAGTGGGGTTTTATTTGGGTAAGATTCTTAAAGCAAGGGGAGGGATTTGATATCTCTCCAGGGAAAAGTGGGGTTGATGAATAGAATGGAATTAATAATTATACATTCACGGGTTTTATCTATATAAAACCCGGCTTTATATAGATAAAACCCTAGGAAAGCCGGGTTTTATACAGATAAAACCCGATGCAGGAATGCCCCGCCTTGTTCTGCCTGCTACATGCATGTAGCTTTGAATTCCTTAATGAGTAGTGGGCGTAAGTATGATCACATTTTTTTGAAATCCTTACAAATTTGAACTAAATTAGTTAATTACCTCGAACATCGGTTTCTTAGCGAGAAACATCCCTCGGGAGCGTAGCCCTCAGAAAGCATCCCTCGGGATGCTTTCTTCGGGTCACGCCCCTCGGGTTGTTTCTCGCTAAGAAACCTAGTTCTCGGTAATTAACTCTTACTTGTAGTACTAGTACGGCTATAGTATACGAATATAGTATACGTATATATTATGGATATAATATGTAATAAGGATATATATGGATATAATATGTTGTTGTATGGATGTAGTATGAATATAGTATGGATTTAGTATGGATGTAATACGGATATAATTTAGTATGGATGTAGTATGGATATAGTATTGATGTAATATGGGATTATGATGGAATGTAATATGAACATAATGTTATCTATCTACAGCACATATATGTACACGATATATAGCACATGAAGAATATGGATATAGAATATGACATGGATATACTGATATTATAGTGTACGTAATTGGTATGTATGGTACGGTATAGTTTGGAAATATTACAGGGATTATAGTATAGTGCTATAACGAAATTTCTTTGTTTCCTTGAATCTGAATTGTGTCCGATCGTTAGCATCTGGAACTAGTTGTCTTATCTTACTTTCAGGGTTGCCTATTAATTATTGAATTGATCAATTGAACGTTCTTTTGGTGAGAAAATCACGATTTTCGCAAACAGAAGCAAGGTTATAATTTGCCACGACCAGCTGTGCTCAGTATGACAGTTATGCAAAAAAACAATGCATAGCTTTCTTCCGCATGAATGCGCACTAGATCTGCTCGTAAATATTGAGATACAGTGGAAGATGGAATATCTGATGCAGGTGCAATAATTCACCGCAAGGTTAGCGTATGTCAGGCTCTGTGCTGATTATGTCGATTAACTCGAAGCTTATATGACCTATGACATTTTTCATGGTAAACAATATACTCTTTTTAATCCACCCCCTTTCGCATCATATTACGACACAATTTTTCTAATATAAATATCTCGGCGAGCATTTACCGCCCCCCCCCCCTTTTAAATAGTTGCCACCATTGTAATCCTCACAAAATAACCTTTCAAACGGGGGGTCAAGTGCCGTCAGAACATAACACAAACAGAAACAATCATATATTTACTCACCGCTTGGCCAAAGATTCCAAGCACAAGATCTTGAACATCTCTTGAACATTTCGTCATTTGCTGAACGGCTATATGTGTAAAATACTTTTTGTATTCAAGCGCTTTCGTGTACAAAATTTCGTTTGAATACGGCGAGTAGAACGATGTACGGAATACGGCGAGTAGAACGGCGGGTAGAACGGTGTCGGGTGTCATGTCGGTAACACAAGGTTCAAAGCGCAGTGCGCAAAATACAAATAATTCTTTGAAAAAAACGCCCAGCAAGTCTAATCAGAACACAAAAATGGAAGATAAGGGTACAGAGAAGGAGATGAACAAAAATTTCGGAAGCGAAGTCAAACTACAAGATATATTTGAGTTGATATCTGGTATGAGCAAGAAGATGGACAAATTGGATATCATCCAAGAAAATATGGAAAATATACAGACGGAATTGAAAGAAGTAAGAAAATCTATTGAATACGCTCATAGCGAAATAGACGATCTGAAGAAGGAAAATGAGAAAAAAGCGCAAGTTCATAGAGAAACAACCGAACGTATCAACAAACTTGAAGCCGACAACGTAACATTATTGAACAGCGTCATTGACCTTAAAGCGAGGTCAATGCGCGACAATCTGCTGTTTTACAACATGCCTGAAGAAAGCGATGAAAACACCACAGCAACGATTCACAAGCTGTTGGAAGAAAAGCTTGGGTTCGAGGACGCTGCTATGAAAATAAAAATCGACCGTTCTCATCGCTTGGGAAAAAAGAAACGGGGTGAAACCAAAGCGCGACCAATTGTCGCAAAGTTCAATTTTCATCAGGATAAAGTTTCAATCATGCGGAATGCAAAGAAGCTAAAAGATACGGCAAGCAGAATCGGAATTTCTGAGCAATTTCCCGAGGAAATTGTCAGAGAAAGGAAGAGGCTTTACCCAGAATTTAAAAAAGCAAGACGTAACAATCTAAAAGCTACTCTTGTCAGAGACAAACTGTTTATCAATGGTGAATTGTTCAGGGGATAATCAAATATCATATTAAACAGGTTTTATATCTTTATTAACTTTTACACAAGTCATACAATTTGAATACTTTAATTCTTATTAACAAACTAAACTTTTCTTGATAGTTAACAATGACTACTGAAAAATCAAACGTAAACAACGCGATAAAAACATGTTCATCCTGTTCTGAATTAATTTCAAATAATATTTCCGAGTGCAACATGTGTCATAAATGGTTTCACGCTGTGAAAGAATGTTTGAAATCATTTCCTGATATGCCTGACTCGCAGTTAATTTCATCTCAGGATATTAATCATATATTCCGCACTTGTTTCGAGTGTAATCCATCGTCTAAATTCAATAACATAAACGTAGACAAACTAAATGATTTGAAATTTAACCCTTTCCAGACAAATAACGATGTAGCTTTCAGCCAACATAACACAAATCTTGATAAATCTCTCAACATTAACGAAATAGACTGCAACTATTATTTACCAACGGAGTTTATAACAAAATCTGAAAAACATTTCCATTTATCTAATGCATTTTCTATAATGCATCTAAATATAAGAAGTATAAGAAACAAATTTGATAGCTTTAAATATTTAACTGAATCACTAATCAAGAATGTAAACATAATAGGTCTTACTGAAACATGGCTTAGCAATAATGACTGTAAACAATATTATAAATTAGGAGGATATGACTATATAGGATTAAATAGGGAGACTAAAAAAGGAGGGGGAGTTGGTATATATATTAAAGAGCATATAAACCGCAAAAAACGTGAGGACCTAACCACAAATATTGAAGATATCATTGAAAGTGTTTGCATTGAAATATGCACAACCGTAGGGAAAAATATTATCATTGCAGTAATTTATAGACCACCAAATAACAAAATTGAAATATTTGAAAATGCAATGAATGATTTATTGAATAAAATTGATCGAGAAAACAAAATCTGTTATCTTATGGGAGATTTCAATATAGACTTACTTCAGTCAGAAACCTGTGATATTGCTAATAGGTTTAGTGAGCAACTTTTTACCTCCTCTTTTTACCCAATTATAACCAAACCAACCAGAATCACTGAACATACTGCTACTCTAATTGATAATATTTTCACTAATAATATAGATAAAATAGACTCAAGTGTAAATGGAATTATTTTCTATGATATCTCAGATCATCTACCCATATTGCATGTGTGTGACCTCAATGCAATCCATTTAAATAAACGTAACAAAGAAATAATAGACATTAGAGAATTCAATAATGCAAATATAAATGTTTTCAAGCAAGCTATTAATGAAATATCTTGGCCAAGTATTTTTTCTGATAACTCAAATCCACAACTAAGTTTTTCCGAAT